GTCGGCCCAGCGGTCGCCTTGCAGCAGTCTGCAGGGCAGCAGCATACACAAGGTAAACGGGAGAAAGGAGACCAGCCAAGGGCGTGCCATGATGACCAGGTGACAACAGCACCGCCCACCGTCATGTGTCCTCGTCAGCCGGTTCACTCACATGTATCGTGCGCAATGCATACGCACTAAGGCACGCACACTTGCACACACACGCACACTTGCACACACACACGCACACTTGCACACACACACACACACACTTGCACACACACACACACACACACTTGCACACACACACACACACACACACACGCACGCAGTTGCGCACCTATCCTGGGTTTGCGAGACATCGCGATCACGCGGCAGCACGGTGGTGGGGGCATCACTGTCGTGCGATGTTTGCAGGTGGTCGTCATCAACCTCTGTGACCGTCAGCTCGTTGGACGCCGGTCCAGATGACGTCATGACGGATGGACGACGCTTCACACGGCGAGCATCCTGTTGCAGTGAACCACCGCATACACATACACGCACACGTGGCAGCGCCACAAATTACGTGAGCCTTTTAAGATGGTGTTCCTCTGTTGTCGATGACAAACAGCCCGTGCACTTGTGTGCTACCAGGTCGGGACGCAGGATAAAACAAGCCCAACACACAATATAATACACACACACACACACACACACACACACACACACACACACACACACACCAGTTTCGTGCACCACTGCAGGATGGGATCAGCTGTGCTTGGCGCGACGGCGGCCTGTGGACGATTTGTCCACTCGCGTGAACGTGGGAGAACCACCGAGGACGTCAGCGTGTGCACGGACACATCTGCAAGCGCTTTTGCCAACGCAGGGTTGTTGTTCGCTCGCTGTAAAACGTCCTGTGCGTTTGGGCAAGTGTTGCGCATGTAGAACGTGCATGCGCAGGCATACGTGTATGCGTGCGTGTGCGTGCGTGTGATTGCATGTTGAAAAGGATGAGCAGGGAAGCAGAGAAAGCCGCAGCAAGTAGAGTTGTTGCACAAAACCACTTGCATGCCAAGCAAAGCACCACGCGAACACCACGCGAACACCACGATGCCCGACCCCCTCCCCGCCCCCAAAGTGCCGACGTCAACAATGGCATCCAAAGATTGAAAGCAGCACCAACGCACCAGCTGGCGTGAGAGCTCGGCCATCAGTTTCGGCGATGCGCTGATCGTCTGGCCTGCAGTGCCACCGGCTGCAGCTGCAGCACACACCGCACATAATGAGCACACGATGCATGCCAATTCGTGCGTGAGTGACAGAGAACGCACCTCGCGTTTCAGCTACTCAGATGGCGTCAGCATAATAAATAAATCAGGGGGCATAATAAATAAATCAGGGGCAAACAAGTTACATTTCACATCACACGCACCCGCTTCATCCACGCTCACACACGCACCGGTGGGCGTTGACGGCGATAATGGTTGTGGCGTGGCCTGTGATAACTGCTGGGCTTCATCTGCCGTGCCCGACAGCATGTACAACTGGCTGGTCGCGTGCGTGTGCGCACCGCTGTCGCCAATGGCATCCCGCGCACGCGATACAATCGAGTTCATCTGCACCTGCTGCACAACAGCACCAGAGGACAATCAGGGCATACAAGAATTAAAGCGTGCGCGTGTGTGCATGTGCGTGTGCGTGCGTGCATGTTCATGGGTGTACATGTATGTGCGAATGTGGGTGACGTATGTGCTTGTTCGTTCGCGCTCGGCACCCTCAAAGGAGGTCGCCATGCGTCTCCCACGAGCACCTCGCGTCCCGCATAAACACGGCCATCATCCATCAATGCAAGTACAAGCGCCAGCCACCGTACCCTCTTCCTCCTGTTTGGCGGGGTGTATCCTGCGTGTGCGAGGCGCGGCGACGTGCGATCGTGCGTGGCGTCGCTGTGCTGCCGAAACAGCAGCGCGGCAGCAGCAGACGGCGATGATGAGGATGACAACGCAGCCGTGGTGGGCACGGCCAATGACGGCGAAGTTGGTGCGCTGGACAGCATTGCCCCGGCGCTTGTTGAGGCAGCGGGGGCTCCCTGATGCTGCTGCCGCGGCAAACGCGTTGGCAGGGTCGTGCACGCCACATGGTGATGCACGCTCGCATCGGTGATGCTGGATGCTGGCGATGCAATGAACGAGCCGTCAGGGTTCTGGGCGTGCACGTGTGCATGAGCATGTGTACGTGCGTGTGCGTGTGCGTGTGCGTGTGATGATGATGATGCTGACGCGGATGTGGGTGGCGGTGAGAGCGGGCCGTTGCGGCCGGTTTCCGCCAGCGACACCGACGACGACGGCGATTGCGGAGCTGCAGATGAGTCATCAAGCCGCGTGGTGAGGTGCGGGCGCTGGGTCCAGTCAACGGAGCGGTGGTGTGCAGGAGAGACAGGCAGGGGTTGCTGCTGCTGCTGCTGCTGCTGCTGCTGCTGCTGCTGTTGTTGTTGTTGTTGGCGTAGCCTGTGTTCACGGCGCAACTGCTGCTGCACTCGCAACATGTGTTTCTCTGCGTCATACTCCTCTGCATGGTGCACGCCAGCATCAGCGTGCCCGCCTCGGGTGCCTTCATGCATTTGCATCTGCGCCATCTTCACCTGCGCGAGTGAGCCGCCGCGGTGCTGTGGGCTGCCGTGCATGTGTGGCCGTGGTGATCGTGAGCGTGAGCGTGGTCGTGGTGATCGTGAGCGTGAGCGTGCCCGCAGCTGCGCCGCAAACGACCCACTACCACCACCACCGCGGTGCTGCAGCAGCTGCTGGTGCCTGCCCCTGATGTGGCGGCGGGAGGGCGAGCCGTGCTGGGAGGAGGACGCAGACGCTGGTGGTGACGGCGTTGTTGCTGGCAGCAGGTTCGGTGCAGACGCAGAGACAGGTGGTGATTGCAGCGGGATTGCAATGCCATGGCTCGCCTGCTCGGTGTGCTGCTGCTGCTGCTGCTGCTGCTGCTGCTGCTGGTACTGCTGCTGCTTGTGTTGAAGTTCATGTTCGGACACGACCAGCGCCGGTGTTGGTGTCATCGTTGTTGGCGCCCCAGTTGCGACCGCTGTTGGGGTGGTGTGCAGCGATGTGGCGCGACGGCCAGCCCAGGCCCCGCCCGCCGCGTTGACTGCAGTGCCGCTCGTGCCGCTGGTGCCGCTGGTGCCGCTGGCAATGGTGGTGTTGGGGGAACCGTGTACGGTTGAGCGGCGGCCCGGCGACTCTGCGCGGATTGTGTGCAGGTACGACAGGATGTCGTCGCTCTGCTGTAGAATGGCCATTACTTGGTCTTCGCTCATGTGCTTCGACTGCTGCAGGGCCATGCGCGTGCTCGACACGCGGCGGTGGCGCGGTGTCATTGCCCGCACCTGCCGTGAGCCAGATCCGCGCCCAACGACTGCTGTTGCTGCTGGCGACGGCGTCGCTGCCTCTGCTGTCGCTGTGGTTGGTGTTGTTGCAGCTGTTGTTGCTGGCCTTGCAGTTGCTGTTGCTGTTGCTGCTGTAGTTGTTGTGGTAGGTGCAGCTGTTGTGGTCGTCTGCGTTGGTGTTTGGGATGCTGTTGGCGCTGCAGTGGGCGCTTGTGCCCCTTGCTGTGTGGAAACAGCTTGCGTCGGGGAGATGGTATGGCCAGATTCAACGGGTGCCGGCCCATTTTCTTCCTGATGGTCACGCGCGGGTTCTGTGCTTGTGCTACTTGCCACATGTGTTGTGCTGGCTGCATGTGATGTGCTGGCTGCATGCGTTGTGCTGGCTGCATGCCTGTGTCCTGCTCCCCGCCACTGTTGCTGTTGCTGTCCCTGTCCCTGTGTTTGCTTTCCCTTGCCTTTCTGTTGCGACTGTTGCTGCTTGATCTTTGCAAGCACAGAGTCTGTTGAGTGCAGGATGCGCAGGAAGTGGTCCTCATCATATCGGCTCGCCGTGTCGCTCTCAACAATCCACACGTCATCAGCATCCTTGGACACGTGGCCGCTCGGTGAGTGAAGCCCAGCAGGGTCGCTGGCCACGTTGCTCGCAGCTGTGTGTCCATGTGCCGCGCCGGGTGTGGCTGTCGTTTGTTCTGTTGACGCGGACGCCGCCGTTGTCACGGCCATGCCTGATGATTGTTGCGATTGTGTGACTCCGGCTCCTGGTTGCGTGGACACAATGTTGGAAGAGCCAAGATCTTCCTCACCAGTGCTGTCAACGTTGCGAGCTTGGGCCTGCTGCGTCTGTGCCCTGCCATCCCAAATTACACCGTTCTGCTGCTGCTCTTGCTGTTGTTGTTGTTGTTCCTGCCGCTGCTGCTGTTGTTGTTCTTCTTGTTCTTCTCTTGTTGCTCCTTCTTCCCCTCCTCCTCCTCCTTCTTCTTCCGTTTGGTTTCCTCCTCCTCCTCTTCCTCCTTCTTTTTCTGCTTCTGCTACTTCTTCTTCTTCTTCTTCTTTAGCTTCGTCTTCGTGGTTGACTTGGTCCTGGTGCTGCCCTGCTTGACCTCCTTGTGGTGCTCCATTCTCTGTTGCGGAAGCGTCTTCAGCGTCAGCCGGTTCTTGATCTTCGCTAAACTCCAACGAGCCCCAGGCAGCGTCTTCCTCTGCATCCGGGGACAGGTGTTCATCGTCGCCAACAGCACCGTCACCAAGAACAGCACCCCCATCCTGCGGGCTGCCTGAGCGCTCGTGATGTCCTCCATTCGCCACCTCATCACTGGTCTCTGGCGGCGAGTCGTGGCGCACAACATTGGTATCGTCGTGTGCTGCCCCGACCCCATCCGTCACCCCGTGGGGACCGCTACGGTCACCGACACTTCCACTCACTGGGTGCTCCACTCCATCGTCGCCACCGCCATCATCACCATCGTCATCACTGTCAACGTTGGCAGCACCATCATCAGCACCACCATCAGTGTCGGTTGACTGCCCTTCCTGTTGCGGTTCATGACGTACGCCCTCCTCTGCTTCATCTGCGCCCTCTGCAACACGACGTGCTGCATGTGTTCCTGGTGCATTTGTGGCTGCTACTTCCTCGCCCCTTCCCTGCTGCTGTGCCTGGTGGTGTCCCCCATCGCCCCCAGCCTCAACCTCCTCCCCACTCACGTCTTGCTTCCTCTCCACGCCTTGCTCTCCGTTGTCGCCGCCGTTCATCGTCTCACTTCGTTCTTCCGGCCACCGACAAATTGCGGTACCATCAACAAATTTCGCAACAGCGATCTCGTGCATTTTTTCCCAAGCGACAACAGCAAAGGCGACCTCGACCCGCCAGCTTGCTTCGCGTGCGCCATCATATCCGAGGGTCCTCTTCTGCCATCGACCTGCCCCACTTCTCTCCTCTCTCCCTCTTTATTGTCGGTGGCGCTGATCCTGAGCGCACCAGCCTACCACCCGCCACGGTACACATGCGTGTTGGATCTTTGTGTGTGGGATGCAGTGTTTTCAGTTGTGATTTGCTGCTGGAAGGACGTGCTTTGCTGATGATGGTCACATCACGTCACATTCCCACAATCTGCACCCTGTTATGTAATGAGGTCGTTTTGTGCACACTCGAGAACACACACACACACTTGACACACACACACGCTCTCTCTCTCTCTCTACAAACAGACACGGCACACACGCACACGCACACACACACCTACACACACACACACACACGCACACGGCTCACTCTCCACACCACGCACGCTGTCATCATACACGCACATTGCTTGCAGATGAAGTTCTTTCGGACGTTGCGGGATGTGATGGGCGAGTCGCTGACTCAACTGAAGCAGGATGCACGCAAGAACGCGCGCACGGCTCGCCACACCATCCACACCTCAGTGGTCGGGGCGCCTCGCTCCTTGTACCAGTACTTTGTTGATTCCGCTCGCTTCTACCGCAAGAACCTAGGCACGCTGCGCCAGGAGCTTGCCTCCGGCTTCACCATCTCCGTGCTGCAAATCCCGGAATCCGTGGCCTTCAGCTTTGTTGCGGGCGTGGACCCCGTGATTGGGCTCCGTGCGACCGTGTTCATGGCCCTGGTCTGCGGCGCGCTCGGCGCCCGGCCCGGCATGGTGAGCGGCGCCGCGGGTGCCATGGCCGTCATCCTCGCCGAGCTGAGCGCGGCCGGCGGCAAGTGGAACGACCGGCCACGCGACGAGATTGAGCGTCTCGTGTTCATGACCATGATCCTGACGGGCGCCATCCAGTTTGGCATTGGGCTCCTCGGCCTCTCGCGGCTCTCCAAGCTCATTCCCTTCACGGCCATGATTGGGTTCATGAACGGCCTGGCCATCATCATCCTCATTTCGCAGCTGGACGCGTTCAAGGAGTGCCCCGGCAACGACTACTCCGTGTGCGCACGCGCAGGTACGCTCAAGTGGCGCTCGCTGGCGGAGGGCAACACGTGGATGGTGATTCTGGAAACGGTCATGGCAGCCATCACGGTCACGGTGTTCCCGCGGTGGAAGACGGTACACCGCTACATCCCGGCTGCGCTGGTGGCGCTGGTGCTTGTCACCTCCTTTGAGCACGGCATCAACCGCACGCTGATCAAGCTGCCCACGCGGACGGTGGCGGAGACGGCGGACGTGGAGGGCAAGTTCATCACGCCAGGCATCCCCGACCTCCCGGACGACACGCCGTGGAACGACATCATCACATATGCGGTGATCATGGCGCTGGTCGGCATCATTGAGTCTGTGATGACGAGCGACGCGGTTGCCGAGCTGCTGCAGGAGCCCAACGGGCCCTTTGCCTCGACACAGGACACGCTGGCGCAGGGCATGGGCAACTTTGTGTCTGGGCTGTTTGGCAGCATGGGTGGCGACGCCATGATTGGGCAGTCGGTGGTCAACGTCATCAACGGCGCGCGGTACCGCCTGTCCACCATCTCCTCGGGGGCGTTTCTTGCGCTGGTGATTGTTGCGCTGCCAGATGCCATTGGCCTTGTCCCCGTCGCCTGCCTCACAGGCATCCTCTTCATCATTGTGGTCAAGACCTTCCACTGGAACTCGTTTATCCTTCTGTTCCAGCTCAACTGGGCCGACTCGCTCAACATCATCATGGTCACCGCGCTCGCCGTCACCACCAACCTTGCCATTGCCGTTGGCGCCGGCATTGTGTGGCGCGCGCTTGTGCACTCGTTTGCCACCAGCTCGCTCCTGCACGTGCGCACGGAGCTGCTTGGGCCGGACGGCAAGCCGCTGTCGCCCGAGCACGCGGCCATCATCACCGCCACCGCGCGCCACATTCAGGAGGTGCCGGAGCCCGCATCGGACGCGTCTTCGCGCGACCTCCTCGTGCAGCAGCAAGAGGAGCAGGAGCAGCAGGCGCAAGGACAAGAACAAGCACAGAAGCCAGCGCAGGAGCAGCAACAGCAGGAAGAGGGCGCTGGTGTGACCGAGGAAGACAATGATGCAACGGCGAAGGAAAAGTCAGCAACAACAGCAACAACGGCAGCGGCGGTGACAGCGACAGCTACAAAACCAGCAACAGCAGAAGCGACGACGTCTGCGTCGGCGGCCTCTGTGGCCATGCCGGGCCCCTCGGACCTGACCAAG